GAAATTTTACGAAAATATTCCGCGGCGATCCGAGGAACTCGATGCGCGTCGTGATCAAAACAGCCGGATCCATTCCGATCATCTCGCAATGCTAATTTCCTTCGTTATTTCCTGATAGTTATTTCTTTAGACTTTCGAGGCGTGGAGAAATATCAGGGGTAATCCATAAGCAATGTCGTTATTCTTCAGGTTGAATAAATATCCGCTATGAAGTTTTGAATCTCAGTGAAACCATAACTGCTGAATATTATCGTACACAGCTGGACAGACTGAACATCGCTTTGCTCGATTAATGTATATGAAATGTTAAATAAAGTAAAATTTTGTACAAGTATCAAAACGCGACATTACTTATGGGTGTGCCCCTAATATTTGAGTCCGGAACGTAATTTCTGACAAATGCTTAAATCTCAGGAATTTCGGCGTCTGATAGTGCCGAAGGGAGATAAATAATTTGCTGGCAAATTTCATGCCGTTGCAGCAAAACCCGTCAATTACTATGTGGACAGCAGAACGATTTGTCGAGAGTACTAATTATCACTCGCTGGATATACAAATTTTTTATTTTGCCGTAAGAAGAAATTGGAAAACGTAGGAATACACAATTTTGTTCTAACAACAAATTAACGTGTCCCGATGACAAATTCACTCGGCGGTATATTTATCTATTTGGATAGCAAAAACTGTTCCTGCTCTAATTACGAATAATTTGCTAATTTGGCTGTGTCAACTAAATTTTTATCTTTGTCGCAACGAACATACAGTAGTGGTGGTAGTAGTACAACGATGTGGTTTCGCTACAGCAGCATAATTATTTTTCTCCGTGCTTTTCGCTAGAAATTACGTAACAATTTAATGCTTAGAGCAAAATTCTGAAAGCTCACCATACCTATTGTGGATCCGGAGTGTCTTGCTAATTTGGCTTCCGAGTTAGTGTCGCGTCCTTCATGGATTTGTTCCTAACGCCCAGTGAACATTTCAGTTCACTCCTTTGGGGTAAAGAACGACCCGAGACTGCTTCGTTATAACCGACCGAGATCAAAGCAAACGGAATTTTGTCCGTCGCATAATACGCATCTCGCTCGAAGCGAGGCCAATAAGGCAGTTAATAAGGCCCGTTTTTCATTTAAATCAATTCCTACGGAAAACACGCAAAGCTGTTGCTTCGAGCGTCCCGAGATCCCTTGATCTTCCTCCCTCCCTCCCCCCCTTCCCTCATCGGACGATGCCTATTAATATTTTTGCAAGGTCGTACCGTGAAATTTTGTCTAACAGTTCCTTTGACAGCGCGACGAGTCACGTGGCCATGTTATCAGTGTCCGACGCGTATTTCATATACGTACTAATCTTAATTCCGGTACTTCACTGTCACAGGGGATCGAGTCCTCACGCGTTCTTCGCGCTTTGCGGTCACGTATGTGTAATTAAATCGGCTATTAAATCGTACGTTCAATTAAGAGACGAGTATCGTTTGACTTGAAATCCCGACGGGCCGCTCGCGTCTGGTATAAACGAAGCGTAAACACGAAATTACGGCGCTCGTACGCGGACGTATAAAAATTTTAGAGTGTTCTATTTGACGATGACGACGACGACGACGACGACGGCGCACCGACGGCGGCGACGACGTTATCGCGCCCAGCTGCCTGAATGGGGCAGCCTTCCTGAAAGATTCGCGAAATTACGTCCGTCGGCGCCGACGTTGGTGCTCCCACCGAGGATGAATAAATTAAGAAAGGAGCCATACTCGGCTTTTGGCGGGCGAAGTCTCGTGCGTGCTTAATTAAATTTAGCGCCGCGCTCTTGGCGCGGACTCTCCTCCTCCTTCCCCCCGGCCGTCGTTTCCCCTCCTCGACGGGTACCCGCCCGACGCTTCGGCGAAGTCGTAGAAAATAATATACACTCGAGGTGAGGAAATTATGCAAATGTTTGTTTACTTCTCGGGCTCTTGCGAGAGGGAGACGCCGCGAGCGGCAGATGTCGAAGTTATGAAAACTTAAAAATTGTATCTCGCTCGTCGTGCTCGCCGGCGCGACGCGGCGCGAATCGCTCGGGATGTAAAGCAGGTACGTCGTATTTTTGCGCTCGCGGGCCCCGTTTCGCTTCCGTGTCTTCGATCGACGTCGAATTATGACCGCGACACCACTACACTCGGGAGAGCGCCTATTCTCTCTCTCTCTCCCTCTCTCGCCTCGGGATTCACAGCGACCCTTGCTTCCCGAACAAGTTTCCGATCTCCCGGCGAAGATAACACGGCGGAACGCTCGCGCTCCCGCGAAGTGCCTCCGATCATTTTTATCGCCGTACGTCCGTCGCGGCGAAAGCTGGAGAATAATATGTTTTTACGGCCCGTGAGTTTTCCCAAAGTCGCTGAAACGGTGATTTTTAATTCCGCCCTTTAATCATCGCAGTCGATGGCGGGACGGGGGCGGTTTCCCGTAAAACTGAGCGTCATCCCGAGACGAAACATAGTTTCCTCCCGCCGAGAGAGGAGCCATTGGTTTTAAAAGACAAACCCCAAGTCCCCCTATTCGGCGGCGTGTGCAAACTCAACTCTGTAACGAGTTTTCTCCGCGCCCAAATTGGCGTAAATCGAAAATGCGAAGTTATCAACGACAGACGAAGTCATTTGGAGCAGGCCGCGTGACTTTGAAGTGGTCCCGAAGTAATTAGAGCTTAAAATAATTAATTACGGCGCACACGCGCTCGCTGAATTATTACGCGCGCGGTCGAAGCGCGGTGGAGGTTTATTTAAAATCATCGGAGAATACATTTAGCCGGCCTTCCGCGTGCGCGCGCGAGAGAGAGAGGGAAATTAATATTTTCCGCAAAATTTCTATTTTAAACGCTTTGTCCGCGTGACGTTTGTCAGGCGCGATCGATAAAATTATCGGCCGAATATTCCGCCTCGCGGAAACGTCCGGCCGAACGCAATTAGCAGGCGCGACGGCGCGTTCGGGAAGGATACGCTTTCATTTGGCCGGCGAAAGCTGCACACTTCCGTTTCATAAATCCGTAACTACAAAATTTCGGGTTTCATCCGCACGCGGCGCTCCACGTGCGGCTTCCGAGATATCACTCCCTCCTCCACCCGCGCGTCACGTCGCGTCTTCACGGCTCCCATTACCTTATCTCCGTAGAGAATGAGCGGCCCCTCCCCCTCGCCCCGAGGAACGGGAAGTATTAACCGAAGAGCGTCCCTCGGGAAAACATTTCGCAGAATGATCGGTACGCAGGGACGAGCTGAAAAAGCCGTGAGAGCAAGCCGAGAAAACAGAAAAAGGAGCGGAGGAGGTGGGGGGATCGCCCCGGGGCGCTCTCGGTAAGTCGTCACGCTCCTGGATGCCGCCCTTCCGCCCGATCAATATTGCGCGTTGGTGGGGCCGAAGCAGGGTGGTCCGCCGAGAGGGGCGATAGGGGTTCCGCGGGGTGGCGTGGAGAGCGTCGTCGCGGTGGAAGCGGCGGTGTCGGGAGCGGGCGCGGAGTAGACACCAGGGGGGTAGCGAGGGGTTGCTGACGGCACGGGTAGGAGGGTGCGGCGACAGTGGGGGGTTGTTTAGGTGGGGACGGCGGTGGAGAAGGCAACACTGTCATGGCGCCGCGCAGCATCGCCAGGCAAGCGGCACCTCGGTGTACTCCCTCGCGGCGCGCTACGCGTTCTTCAGGGTTCCGCGATCGGCAGCGACGAGCGACCTGGTGAAATCGTGTGTCGCGCGGTGTCCGCTCGTCGCGTCGTGTGGCTCCGACCGAGGCTCGTGAACGTGGTGCACGTACATTCACGCGCACACGTCGCGCTCTCCTCTCTCTCCGACATGGGCGACCGTCGACGGCCGACATCGTAACGAGGAAGACGCGGCGGCTGAAAAAGTCGCGCGAGTGCTTCGTCAGGAGGAGTCACGTCGCGGAAGTGACGCGGGAGTCTTCTCCGCTTATCGACGTCGACGAACGTGTGTACGAACGAGGAGTGACGCGCCGCGAGTGACAGCGCGCGGCGATCGCCAGCACGCGTTGACGGAGGAGACGCACGCTCTCGCAGCGGCCGACTCGCCCATCGATCGCGAAGGTCGAGGCTGAAGGTCGCGCGCGAGTTTCGGGGATTCGTCGTCCCCGGGATTACTCGCGCGCCGAGGAAGAGAGAGACCGGCCGCGCGCGACTTCGCCTCGACGCCGCCGCCCGAAAGAGCGCGCGCGCTCGTCGAGTTCCGTGCGAGGAAGGAAGGTTCGGAGGGGACCTCGCGATTAGGCCGACCGCTGCTGCACGCACGCACGCAGGTGAATCGATGCCGCGCTGGCGGAGGAGCGGGTGGAGGAGGTGGTGATAATCGCCAAGGGCGCTCGTGCACGATGTCGCGCGGCCAGACACGTGACTGAGAGGCAGCTGCCGCGGCTGGAGAAGGGATCCTTCTGGTGAGGACCTTCGCGGGTCCTCCACCGGGGAACCGACATCGGCGAGAAGATAGGCGGGGGTGACCTCCGCGGGTGGAACGAGCTGGAAGCGGCTGGGTTTCGTCGTGACGCTCTACCACGAGTAACAATGTCCTAGCGAAGGCAGGACCTCGTCTCTAGGCCGATCCCCCTCATCCTGCTCCACTTCTCTTCCACGAACCTCCACACACCCCGTCGCTCCCCGATAACACCACCGTATATACCGAAAGTACAACCCGCCCGTCGCCGCGTCCCACCGTTCAAACGCGCGCTCGCGCTCATACACCCACTCGCTCGCCGCGCACACACGGTTATCGGTCATACGCGCGCGCCCACGTATACATACACGGTGCGAGATATATGTGTT